AATTGCTTCATTAGTTTTGAAAATATGACTGAAAACGCAAAAAGCGAAATTAACATTAAGGGGTACGAACTTTGAATCGCTCTCCTGACCAAACTATGGGGACCACATTTCCCAGATTGCGGCTACCCCCTATATTTTGAAGATGAAAAATCCAAATATGTAAAAAAAAAAATGTATGTTTATTCAGAGAAAGTACGTTTTTGTGTCTTATTTCGTAACTTAATTAATAGTTAGCACTAATTAATTCGTATATTTGAGGTCACCCCCAGGAACCATTAAGATTGACACTTAGTTAGTGAAAATCCGATCATTAGAACGAACGTTATTCAGGGTGATATCTTTTTTTTTTGCGGACTGTACATCAAATATATTTCACGCGACAAAAATTTGCTTCATAATTTTATTGAAATAACTGAGCTTTTACCCACTGCCAAAATGGATTTCATGGAATCCTCACTTTTCAACTACAATAATCACCAGTAATAGTAAACAGTGCGCATGCATTGCTATGGCGACCGCTGCTGTTTGATATTTTTTTAAAATTTTTTTTTTCACTTTTAATTTTGTTATGCATTAAATTGGTGAGTTTATTTTTGAGATATGGGACCAGAGAGATGACATAAATACTTCTTGAATTGTGAATAAAAGAGAATTTCATCATTTGAACGATATTTTTGTTTTTATTGTTTTCATTAAGAATCAGAAATTCTAACCAACAGTTCAAACTGGATTGCTTTCAATACTAATTCAGGTGGATTTCACAAATAAAGAGGGTCCAAACTGATTGACGCTGTCCCAAAAGCAAGAAGAAAAAAAACGATGGCAAGTACTGAGATTACCGAGGCTGAAAAAGCCAAAGTACGTAGGCGGGAATACTTGCGTTACACACAAACGAAAGGATTCCGTTCGCAAACGCAAACATGAAGCCCGTCCCTCACAAAACTACCAAAGTGGTTGAGACAATTGAACCCTACCGATGAATGGTGAATCTAAGAACCCCTTTTATTCAAATACGTGAACTGGGTGTTGATCACCAGTTAAAGATAAAAGTATGCATTGTCAGCGTACCCAATAACTTGCATAAGACCGTAGACTGTATTCCACGCAATATAAATGATTCATTCACTATTCATGTAAAATTGAAAAAAAAACCTAGCTTTTAAATCATATTTCATGTATGAACTTGTGAATCCGAAACGGGTGTATGATGCAACTTACAACCTCCATCAAACACCATTGTACCATACCGAAAATGTTAATATTGATCTCGATTAGCTGTTCAATGTCTATTCAGTCATCTAAAGAATTGACACAGAATGTGTCTGAGTTGAATTTAAATATGTCAGCAAAATTGTGTACGGAGTAGTTCAGGATTAACAGTTAAAGATGTCTGAGACCTATAAAGCTTGTTTTCCAAAAAAATTAGATTGAAATTAGAAGAAATTAGAAATTTTTTTTTTGTTTGTTTTTTCAATAATTTATACAAAATTTCAATAATATACATACGTAAGTATAGATTTTGAATAGTATATTTATCAATTTCTTCAATATATATTTTATAATTATTTTTTACTATTTTGAATATTTATCTGTGAAAAGATTCGTGGTTCCAATCTGGAAAATATATTTCAGTGAGTGATCGAAAGTTTGAGTCCCATGACGCTAATTTAAGTGTTTTGCGTATCATGCTATCTCAAAAGAGTCAGTATTTAATTTTTTTTTTACTATTATTTAAAATTGAGGCAAAAACAGAACACGTTTGGTTTTTTGTAGAATGGCACGACACCATATGGTGATATTCAATCCAACTATTACATAACTGTTGACTTCTAAGGAAATTTGTTTGAGCAACGAGTTTTTGAGATTTTTTAAATTTTGCTGATAAGGGAGCAATGCTTACATGAAAAATAATATTTTATTGTCACTAATCCAATCCACCGCCACTAATCCAATCCGTCACTAATCCAATCCACTGTCACTAATCCACCGCCAATAATTGGCGGAAAAAAATTGGTTAAAAAAATCTAGAGTCTAGAGAAATAGATTTTTTTTTGTTTGCATACAAACCTAAGTATAGAAAAAAGAACTTGTTGATTACGTAATATTTCATTTTCATTCATATAGTTCATTCATAATTACTTGACCTAACATTTTAAATTGTTCCCAATTTTTCTTCATTGAAAAATAAATGTTTAAAATAATTTTTGAATTGCTCTATTTCATGCATAAATGCTAGTTTCATTCATAAATACATGCTTGAACTTTAATTATTCTTGAATTTCTTCGATTCATTCATCAATTCTTTCATATGAATTATAGTTATCAGCTATTTGGTTGAATCCTGTTTTGCTTAATATTTCTTCTAACGCTTGCACAAACTTTCATACCGTAGAATTGCTTAAGTGGCAGATATTTTTGGTAACTTATTAACCGGAATTATTACCAAAACTCGTTTCACCTTTTTCTCTGACCTTTTTATTGACTTAAAATTAAAAAGTGTCGACGTTAAAACTCATCCTCTTTTTTTTTCGCCATTACCAGCCAGTGGTCAGTAGTAGTGGTGACCTTTGAAAACAGGTCGCCCCTGTTTCGGATTTCAAAAACTGAAAATTCAAAACAATAGGAAAATATTATTAATGTAAAGCATTTCTCAATATATTGTGAACAGTTCATTTCTAAAGAGAAGAAAATTTTCCTGATATCTAAAAATAGGTATTGAACGTAAATCTTTTAAACTTTAAAAAACAATTTAAACCAATAACCCAACAAAAAAGTTATGTTTGTAAACAAACACAAAATTTACTTATTTAAAAAATAAAGTAATAATAATCATGAAATTGTATTAATTATAATTAAATATTGTCGACTTATAAATAAATATGAAAGTTACTTGAATGAAACCTACTCAAAGTTTAAATCTGATGATTACTTCTTGTAGTGTATCTACCACTTTAAATATACAAAACCAATTCACTACTCTATTAGACATGTTAATTTGATTCTATGACGGTGTACCTCTTCATAGATGAAGGTTGACATAGTTGAAAACAATTATCCCCACATTGGTGACTTTCGGACGCGATGAAAACACTCCAAAATTGACAGTAACGCTCACTTCGATTTGAACACGCCGACTTCAATGGATGGCCCATATTTAAAAGTTGACTTGTGACTGCGACATTATCCACCTCCTTGCGCTGTTGCTAATCAGTCTCGATCACTTACAACGTATGCACTCGACTGCGAAAGGCAACACAGGAGCGACCATGACCATGAACTTAATACAGCTCTCACGGCTTTTCACAAGACAGCAATGAATCAACTAGTGGTATCCATTCATCGAATTCTATCACAGCTATAATTCCGGTGGGGGAGTACTGTAGTGTATCTACTACTACAAATATACAAATCCAATTCACTTGTATGTAAGACATGTTAACTTGATTCTATGACACCTTTGCATAGATGAAGGTTGACATAGTCGAAAGCAACTATCCACACACTTCACAATAAAAGAAATTGAAATTTCGTGTTTTGTAACACATGGAGGTAAATTTTAGACGAATGGACGAACAAATTTTTAATTGTTATATTTTATATTACAAATCATCTTGTTAGTTTTGCCCTATGTTAAAAAGGGAAGTACAAAAAGGGCAAAACAATATTTCGTTTTAAACCTGTTTATTTTTAGACATTCTATAATTTAGTGTCTTTCTAATAATTTTGTATGATTCTGCTTAGTGACGGTTAATTAGAGACGTGATGGCTCAGAGCACTCGCCATCTAATGAGGGTAGCCCAGGTTTGAATCCCAGCGATGGCTGGTCGACAACGAATTCTGCACCCGGTTCACTCCGCAAACAGGGCTGGCGTAAGATATCCTCAGTGGTCGAAGAATCATGGATTAGAGTCCTATGGCCGTCAGGCTAACCATGAGCGGTTTTCGTGTTCTTCCTCTGCATTATGCAAATGCGAGTTAGTTCCATCGAAAATACTCCACGAAGTCAAATTTCTTCCAGTACTTGATTTAGGAGTTCCCTTGTCTTCCGGATTGGATCAAAATGACAAGGCTACGGAGTTGAGCATCAGCATTCGTATACTCAAAATTCAGCT